TTTCATTTTTTTATTAGTTAAAAAAGTTTCAAAAATCCAATAGATTTCGTTCCACTTCACAATTGTGTCCCACTTGTTGGTGATTCTTCACATAAGATAAAAAATTTATATCTTTATGTTTGAAGCCTGAAATGTGGCAAAAGGTTGAAAAGTTCAAGGGGGCCGAATACTTTTGCAAGGCACTGTATTTAATTACCTTTATTGAGAAATAAATAATAAAAACTACAGCCATACTAACATTCTGTATACTTACTTACACTGTATGGGTAAATAATCAGGTCAAGCTTATGATAAGGCTACCAATGGGAACAATTATTTGAACACATACTTAAATGTCACCAGACTGCTACAAGAAAACCCAGATCTCACAAGAAAATTCATTAAACACACAAAAAAGCTCTGTATTGTTAAATGAAGTAGCTTTGGTGGTAAGTGAGTTTGGACACCTTCCCCAGCACGTGGCAAAGATAGTTTTTCTTTTGCATAGCAAAATGTGTAAGTATAAACTTCAAAGCTACATATTATGATGAAATGTGAAATTATTTTAAACCAAAATAACCAGCAGGTGCAATATGGAAATATGCCTGCAACTACTCTTTATTTTCAATATCTGAGGTATTCGATATCATGTAGCATTAATGTGTTTACCAATGCACACCAAAAAAGAGTACATTACCTTACAAGCAAAAAAACAGCTGCATTTGGGTGGTGCTTGAAAGGCTAATGTAAAAAGAATCATTCTAAGGTTAACAGGAAACTGACAACTATAAAACGTTTTCCCTGACCAAACAATTACTGACCTAGAAAAAAGTCCCCTTAACTCTTTACATATTTAATAATAATAATAATTTCTCAATCTAGCATTTCATAATTGATGTGAGATGTGATGTTCTGATTTTCTCCCACAGTCCAAAACATACAGTACTAGCAAGAAAACTGGTCCTGGAGTGAGTGTGTGTGTCTGTGTGAGTGTGTGTGTCCTCTATGATGGACCAGCGTCCCATCTAGGGTGTATCCTGCCTTGCGCCCATTGCTTGCAGGGATAGGCTCTGGGTCCCCTGCAACACTGTACTAGATAAAGTGATTCGAAAATGGATGGATGTGGTTATCTCATCTTTGATGCTGTCCGGATTGTTCTTGCTATTTTTTGGGAGATTAGTTGGGTTAGGAGATGGCATCACCAATTTTTCTCATCTGCACGTAACATTTCATCTAGACTTTTTCTAACAGAAATGTCAAAAGATGTTTTTTTATGCTGCAGGTAACACATGAAATGAAATGTACAGCTTGTGACAGAAAGCCAATGCAACCTTTATAGGTCTCTCTCCGCATTCATTAACACTCACAAAGAGCACTGCAGCTCCTCCCTGCTTTTTACTTTAAGAAACCAGGTCACCTGAAAGTGGGGCATGCAAGGACTTCTCAGGTTCCCCTGGATGCAAAACAGCAGTAAGAAGTGACAGAAAGAGTCAAATCTGGGTCGCTACTTTCTTCTTCATCCTCAAGAGTACTCCTCCAGAAACCTTGACCTATATATCTCATTTCAAATATAACTTAACAGTTACAAGATAACACAGTATACCAGATTTATCTGTGTACAGAATCATAAAGTGCTCCACATCTGATTTTTATAGCTGCATTCTGAGAACTTGCCATCTCCAAAGCAATGCATCAGAGTACAATCACCTTCTTTATCTTTACCTTCAAGGAAGGTTATCTGTTCACTTGTCCCATGAAGATGTTCAATTACGTTATCTGTGCTCTCCAAACTGCACAATTTATGGATGCATATTGTATCCCTATGTCATCCCATCTTAGTAATAAAATGCGACCAGAGTATAAATTAAAATCAGACTATTTCTGAAATGTCAACATCGCTCTTATTAAGTCATCTTATTCTGTACCAGTACTATATCTGCAAGGAGTCACATGATCTCAGTGTCAGAAAATCATTTATACAAATCTTAGGTCTGAGCAGCAGCTGTACAATAGACGATTTTCAAGTTTGGCAAGGTCATGTTTTAGGTTAAAGATTTAAAGGATAATTATATGTATGTATAAGTGAGACTCAACCCATTTTTTTGTTTCTCCACAACTGCTTAAATGCCACCAGCCTACAATGGACACTACAGAATAATCTGTTCTTTACCTTATACCTTTTCACCTAAACTGTAACCCAGGTATTCAGCCACTTTGACTGAGCTTGGAGTTAACTGTAGTTTAATTCTACTTGGTTTTATCATTTCCAGATTTCTCCTTTGTTGGTGTGATTGGATTTACATAGGATTGGAAACCTACCTCATCCACCTGTCTAACAGGGGATGTAGGTAAAAGAAAACTCCATCAATCAAACTGAAGATAAAAAATAAACACATTGCCATAAGATATGTGTAGTTTCTCATTCAGTTTCTGTTCAACACTTGTTATAGGGAATCAACTAAACATACATTACTGTAGCTATTTCATGTAAATTGATAAATTTGAGCTGTGTTGTCTACTGTGTTGTCAGTGAAAATATTTAGCAATTGTCTTTAATTAGTTAGTTGAACCATTAATGTAAACAGAAAAGTGTCCCTGCTTACATGTCAGCTAAAATTGCCACAAACAGAGTGTTAAACATTATCATTAATGAGCAATGAGCAAATTGTTCCTTAAACACACTTTCTCCAGATGAACTGCCACAAAGTCTCAGACCTCGCCTGACTGATAATGGCCACCTCTGTCAAACAGTAAAAAATACAATTTCTTCAATATATTATTCCTAGCAAGGTAAAATGGACAAAAATATAAAAAGAACAAGTGGGCAAATCTTTAAAAAATACTGCAATGACAACTCAGCTGACATACAAACTTACAACTTGGGATTTAAAACATTCTCAAAGCATTTCATAATATTCTAACTGCAATGTATAATCCATGCACATTCAAAGTAGTAAAGTATATACTGTAGTATGTCTATGCACTAAAGTACATACTGTAGATATGTCTTGCAGTATATACCACACACCTTGCTAAATACTGTAATTTAATTTAACTCAACACCACAGGATTTATCAAGTGTTTCATTCCAGGGAACAAAGACCCTTAAGAGAAATAGACTACAGCTCAGAAACTTACACTCACTAACTTTACCAAGGAAAGAGAGAATTCCTGCAATCACACTTACACAAATACGCAGATTGCCAGAATTTCAATGCTTCTGCTTCCATAAGGTACTGCAAGAATCTCAGTGCACATCCATTTTATGAAGGATTAACTGTGATAATAGGAATTACAAAGACCATTGCAGGAAAGGAATCACTTCATAGGTTAAGTTGTGGGGCACTGGACTGAACAAATCTAGCTTGATTCTATTTTGATCAGGAGATTCCAGTAAGAGGCTTAGTATTTCAATTGAAATTGTTCAATCAACAGGAAATCCAAATCCCTAATAATGAAATATGATTTTGAATACAGTGCTTGACTACGAAACCATTCTGGGCTATTCTTAGTGAATGATTTAATGGGTATGTACAGTTTTGCCGCCACAAACTAAAAAGGAGTAGGAGGGGTGATCTAACCCTCACAGAACTAAACACCCAGACTTGGTGAAAAGATTAAAATTATTCCCTGGCTGTGATGCTATCTCTTTAGTCTATTAAAAAGCTTCAAAAGGAATCTTCACTTTCAAGAATTGAACCAGAGTACCACAAGCAGCACATAATACCTCTGCGATTAAAGAAAGGGCCGCTAATGGAATTACCTGAGCGTTTTCATAGAAGAGGACATCAGGGACCTTCATCTTCTCATCAGGATTATAGACAGGAACAGAGACCCTTCCAATCCTCAGTGTGCCACCTTTTATTTCACCTACAATTGCATTCCCAGAAGGAATTACATTAAAGGTGTTGAAAAGCAAAGCCCAGCCATAATGCAAGGCTGAATTTCAGACCTTTGCAGACAACAAATCACCAGTTAAACCAATAGCACCTCTGTGAGAGACATCTAACACGTTTACTTTAAACACTCTGCGTACAGCCTGGGTTCTCTGCTCTGTGGTAGAAAAAGCTGTGAGACACAGAACACCAAAAACAGCAACAGACTACAACAGACTTATTTGTGCAGGAAACTGGAATGAGAGCGGTCTTACCAATATGCAAAATAATTTAAAAAAAATGTTTTTTCGGGGTTTTACACTGTTGTGATATAAGATCTTCTACAGTATTCATATAAACAACCTTCTGTTGTTGTTGTTTTCTGCCGAACACTCCCTGTGTTGATGATCAATAAAGAGTTTATTTACCTGGAAATAGATCATCATTGCTCAATTGAAAAGCTAATGTATAATAAAATTATTTATTATTCAACCTTAAAATTAAAAGTCTGATTAAAATGTATAACGGGCTTACAACTAGCATCCTCATGTTCATGCTTTGACAGCTTTTCTGAGCTGTCCTCAATTCCACAGGTCACCAAGTTCTTTTGTAGTGCAGATCTTGCCAGGGTTGGAAGGAATCTGTAAAACAACAAAAACAAAACAAGCAGTACAATCATGATTCCTACAGCTATGGTGTGTTAACAGATGCCATCCCCTCACACATTAGGATCCTCCTAACCTTCGCAGGGTGATATCCACAAATTTTTGCATTATGAAACACAACTGCCGATCCAAGAAAAACATCAAGAATAACGTAAGATTTATTCTGTAAGCATTTGGTTGTGACATAACATCATTCGATAATGCATTTCTTAAAGCTATATGTGCTTTGTGTTATTCAGGTCAGACTCCCCACCACACAGTACATGATCAATGCTGTACAGATTGTGCGTAAGCCAATTGACGCTAACATCCTTCTGCTGACCTTAAAAGGACTAAACAATTAAGATCCTTTCAATACATCTCAACAGCTCTGCGTTTTACAATGTGACTTGCTGTGAGTCTCCATATCAAAATCCCAACCTGTATATTGGGCAATAAAGCTTTCAATTGTGGTTCAACTGTGGAATGCTCTAATTAGACTGTACTAGGTTTCCCATCTCTGTCTTCAAAATCCATTTAGAAATGGTCTCTTTTCTCTTAAGACATACTGTTTTTTAAAAGTGTCTCAACACGTTCTTTCTACCTATGCACTGCTGATTTGTTACCTACACAACCACTGAAGACTATTCTGATGATCATCGTGGTAAAACTGAGACTAGAACCACAGATTAGGTGGCTCCAGTGCCACATGTTCCATTATAGAGCCCAGCATGCATCTCTGCAGATGTGTTAATACCTGGAGAGGCACGCTTTATTTATAGAGTGAGAAATGCTCTCTTCTGGATATTGAGACAGGCGGCGACAGATTCTCAGCAACTGTCTTGTTGATAAAGATGAGGCTAATGACTGTGCCTGCAATAGAAATTGAAAAAATTAAGAGCTATAAAAATCTGTTTCTTTGATTCACACACAAACATCTGTTTTAAAAACATTCCAAAACCATTATAAGATCATATACTGTAACTGTGGCTTTAACTCATATTTCATATAAATGTTTTAAATAACTGATTTTAGGGCCCTGGATCAAAGTTAAATAGAGCTCAACAAATAGACTGCGAAGTAATCATCCAGCCAAAGGCATTCTTCCTTTCTTTAATTTGATACAACAGCTTAAACATTTAAAGTATTATATTTTATTAAAATATTATATTTAAAACAATAAACTGCCAAATAGAATACACTGTACGAGCATTTCGATTTATTTCTTTGGCACTTTAAGTATTCTCATATCGCCAACACATGCAACATTATGCATTTAACTATTTGCAAAAGACATATATGTATTGGTCGGGAGGACAAGGGCATTTTTATCATTCAGCTTTTCAGATTCAAACTCAGAAGCAGATAGTTCAAGAGAATAAAACAAAATTGTCAATATTAACAAAGGCTTCTGCAGCTTAGCATGTATAAGGTATATAGTGCCATATATTATAAGACCTAGTTTGTCTGAACTCAAACTACATTAAAAGAAGATGTTAACTGACCTCTTGTCTGATGACATGAAAAGGAGTCATGGGATACTAGTCTTACAATTGACACCCCATACAGTCTACACACTCTTCTCACCTCTAGACTACTTTAGAGTTCTGTTTTTTTTTTTGCTTTGGCACTCATAGGTCTTTGCATGAACAACTGCACAGAGTACATTACATTTCTGCATCTGCTAATTTGAAACAGACTGTGCAGATTATATTTATCCAATGCAACCAGTAAAATCGCAGCACATGAAACTGAAAATGCTGCTGTAATGAAACTCACCGTGGGGTCATTTGTTTGCCGAAGTCTGTGGGTGAAATGAAGCAGTTGCTCCACAGCCTCCTTTGGAACATTTGGTGTCTGAAAAAACAATTCCAATGCTCTCTGTGATATCGTTTTGCTAAGCTGTAGGGCTGGTCTTTGTGTTATGAAATGAGAGTGTGACACAAGAAGCATGATTGCCTCAAAGCTGCTGGTCTTATTCTCAGGGATTGCAAACTTTTTTATAAGAAAAAAATAACAGAACGACCACAACCATCACAAGGGCTTTTAATCAAAGCATGATTGTATCCAGCTTTGATGAATAGAACCCAACATCTGCTGTAGTGACAAAGAACTAATAATTAATTATTAACTGTAAAAAGTGACCAGTCTTAGGCTGTCACCTATTTTTACACAATAAAGGCCACAAGGCAGCTTGATTGACCGAACCTGTAAAACGTTTCATCACAAGCTCTTCGTTATCAATACCCATCAATGCTCAAAATCACAAGAGCGTGTTCAGGTGCACTGTTCACAATTACCCCCATGACCATAGGTTACTGGTCAGCTGCAAGGAAGGATTCCATCACATCCAGATTTTTCCTTCAGCCCAAGGACAGCTGTGCTGTCTGATAGTCAGTGATGATAATGCAAATTAAAAGGAAGTACCCTACAATAGACTAGCCAGATATTTTGACTAGAGTTGGACATCTGTTCCAGATATTTCAATGAATTTAAAATGGAAAAAAGGTGTTTTACTATCCCACTCACCACGAACTCTTTTAAAGCAAGGAAGGTGTTCTGTATTTGCATCATACTTCATAAATCTGCCAGAAGATTTACAAACCCAAAGTGGAATCATTTTATTGCTACGGATAGCAATAAAGATTACAGGTATCTCAGTGTATTTATTTGGCCTTTGAAACTGCATTTTTCCTTAGCATGTTTATTAATCCCTGACTAATTAATGACTTTATTAATCACTGACTGGACTCTACAAAATCAGGCAGACTTGGAGCTATCCACTCTTGTATGGTTAGAGAATTGAGAAGCATGCTTTTCAGTGGAATCACAGAAAAAACCATGATAAGTGCTTGAAGTGGCTGAAGTCTTCAGATTCAGACTGTCTCTTTTGGAGTTGGCTTTGTAACTGCATCAGGTTGCAAGCTACCAAGTCACAGCTTCTTTTACTTCCATCATTTCAGCACATTTTCCTCTCTTTTTCAAACTCTGAACACACGAACAGGGATCAAACATTAACTAGTAGACCGACAACCCACTGAACCCACTAACGACCCACTAAAGCTAAGCAGATGTGACCTGGCCAGTACCTGGATGAGAGACCTCCTGGGAAAAACTAAGGTTGCTGCTGGGAGAGGTGTTAGTGGGGCCAGCAGGGGGCGCTCCCCCTGTGGTCTGTGTGGGTCCTAATGCCCTGGTACAGTGATGGAGACACTATCCTGTAAAAAAAGTTGCCATCCCTCGGATGAGACGTAAAACCAAGGTCCTAACTCTCTGTGGTCATTAAAATTGCAGGGCACGTCTCTGAAAAGAGTAGGGGTGCTAGAAGGCCAGGAGGCCAGAACGACTCAGTGTGCACCTTGCGTCTGTCTGGGGTGACCCCACAGCAAGGTGATGCACAGTCACTGTCGCACGGTGCCACTCACCATTCCTCTGAGGACCTCCCCTTCTTCTGCCATGGCCAGGGGCTGGACGTGGTGGAACAAGAACATGGTCAGAAGCTCCGGACCCAGCCACTGCTGGGAGGCACTGCCCACAACCGGTGGCTCTGCCAGGGCCACTATCCGGAAGGAGGGGTGGATGGGAAAGACAGACCTGACAAATAACAGGCGAGAGTCACAAGCACAGGAAATTACATCCAGACAAAGACACAGCACTTGCTATATGCAAACCATGCTGTGCACTTGACTACCGGTTTAGTGAAGAGGCTTAGGAAGAAAAATAAAAGGAACAACTCTTAACATCTTAAAATCCCACAGCAGCTGTTTTTCTTTTGGAAAGATTTTGACAGTTTCATTGCAACGGCACTTTCTACTTGTTCATTTCTTTGATTTAGCTTGGCCTTTTCAGTGCCTGAGCAGCAGGAAGAAAAAGCCAGCCTTGATGTCCGTTTGCAATTGGATGGGTTTTCAAGATTAGAATTGGAAAACATCTTGCAGGAAGTGAATAAAACCAATTTAATAAGAGAGATAAGCGGAATATGTCCTAAACAGGGCAGCTGGAAAACCTGAGTTTCCATTTAAACGGATCTTTTTCCCCATCAGTTAATTAAATTAGAACACAACAGCCATGAGGCCCAGCAAAAATACAGTTTTAACATACAGCAGAGTTCTTTAACAACCCAATATTTTCATGCGGTGACAAGAGATATGATTTTTATTCATATATAATCAAGTTCCATAGAGTTACAGGAGCCCTTCCATCTTCTAGAGTTTATTATGAGAATTATCTGCATTAGTATCACTAGTATCTCCATTTACTGGCCTAGGTAATAATGATTATCATTAACCGCTTTTGCATAGTGCTTTTCATTAAAAATAATCCCAAAAAACAAATGGGTGTTGTTTCAGATCATGTGTTTTCATAAAAGGGAAAAAGCTTCATACAAGAGGAGGGCAATCCTAATTCTGGAGGGCCGCCAGTGTGTCTGTCAATTTTCTACATTCCCTCAATCCAGCAGTACCCAAGACTCTGGGAGAAACTGGTAACTATGCTCACATTAAACTGATAACGAGCTCGGCTAGAATGAGGGGGTCTTCAAGGACCACGATTGTCCACCCCTAGCCAGAACGCAGCCCAGAGGCCTACTCATGCAAAATGACTGAACTGTCTCTAAGTTGCCCATCTGTTTGATGAAAATGCAGACATGCAGCAAAGATGAACTAAGCTTCAGTAAAGACTTGTTGATGTCCACAAGAAACTTGGAATATGTTAACAATATATTAATACATCTATAAAAATACAATGTGATGATGAGACAGAGTGTCAAAGTAGAAAATCTCTGCAACACTATAATGGTTTTTATACTATCAGCATGCTTACAGTAATATAATAAACACTTCACATGCTTGAATTTATACTCCAAAATGTTTCCACATTAGTCCTGCCAAAAGTGTAATGTGTGATTGTTTTCACGCTTTACAAATATTTGAATTGCTTTTATAAACACACCACCAGTAGGGCACATTAATTAAAAAAAAACACAGTTTCTAGGTTGAACGTCCAACTAAATATTCCCAGCTAAGCAATTAACATTCACCAAATAGACAAATTAGGATTTTCATTCCAACGTTTAATCATCATTTTGATTACCCTGAAAGCAGAAACAACACCAAAATTACAGTTGAGCCAGAGAGGCTTGGAATCATGTTTGGAATAACAAGAAGACACAGAAAATGAAATGAGTGAGATACGAGCACAAACAAGAGCACGTGACATTATTAGTCACGTTGGGAGACAGTAAGTAGAAACTGGGCTGGACACACACCAAAATGAACGAACATCCAGATAGAATTTAGAGAAGAAGGGCAATAATTACTCTTCTTGTAACTCCTTTTAACTCTACAAGTCAGAGAAGCATAAAAGAACCAGATATATACAAAATCTTACAGGAAGTTTTTTTTTTTACATATCCCTGAATGTATGGATATCTTTCCTTTTTATTTTTTACATTTCTAACAGTGTGTACAAGTATCCTGTGAATTTGTACTGACCCAAAACTATACACTACCAGTCTGTAGATGTCAAGACTGAAGGATTCACATGGCACTTTTAAAAAAGCTGTGTCCAGATTGTAATAAAAACCTGACACACTTGAAGTTCGTTAAACTGTCAAAATGAATTTTACATTCTGATGTCAGTCACTCTGGCCCTTCTGACCTTTGTCAACATATTCACTGCAATCAAATGACAATGACATGCCCAGTAGACCCATTTTCACTTAATCTTTCCAGACAGCATTTTCTATTTTTATTAAGGCTGGACTCGGCATGTAATATGTAGGAACATCCCTTGACAGATAACATAACCACCCACTACCACAACCCTGAACTGTCAGGGATATTTCCAAGGGTGTTTACAGTGAGGCACAATGGATCTACTGTCGCCTAGCAACCCTGATCTACCACTGACACTGTCACTAAAAAACGGACACTTCCTGAAATAATTTAGAAGTGCAGTTTTAAGGGCATAGGTTTCAAATGTCACATTAATATACAAACAAGTTAGACTTTGGGAAACCCTTAATAATCACAGGCCCATTACAATCTGTACTGAAAAATAGAAAGTAACTGTGCTGCTCATGTGACCTACAGATTAAAGGGAGGTAACTGTACTATTTGAAGGCCTTGAAAAATGTCTTGTTTTAAGAAGCCTGTTTCAGTGGAATGTTAGGAAAAACAGTTACAGAGACCCACTAAGTAGACACTTGAAGAGACAAGAAACACATTTTTACTTGAGAAGAAAAAACAGGAAACCAGAGATGACAAGGAATGTTTTCATGCAGTCAGCAACACGCAAAGCAGGGTTTGAAAGGGAAGGTTGAACTGTGATGACATAATTCCTGTTTAGTGCAACAGTAATATATTTTATGTAATAATTTTCTAAGTAGTGTAGTACTACCTCTTGCATATTTGAAAAATGTGAAGTCAGAAGTCAGAAAGTTATTGGGCTCCCAGCTTTATGTCAAAGTAACACATTACTGCTAAGAACATTAAATATCTTGCCTCTGTTCCAAGTCTTGAAGTCTTCTTGAGCACAGGGTAGGAGGAAGTGGGTTTTCTGGGCTCCAGACATTCCTCCTCTAACACATTACCCCCAGGAAACTGATTTACAATACACTAGGCTCTGCTAAAGTATTCCTTTCTCTTTCATTTCATTCGTGTTCAGTAACCAACAGTAAATGTTGTGGTACTTCTGCGATATATTTATGGTACATTTGTACACTTTTATATACTATACTGTATACTGTAAAGTACTCACATCTTGAAATTATACATTTAAATCATAATACATTTTCCAACCGTGTTGTATATGCCAGAAGTTTGTAGAAATATATCAATGACCTAGAACAAACAAACAGGTCAAGTATAGTGCAATGTAATATAACCCAATTTGACAAAATAGTGCACAACTGTAATCTACAATCAATCAATGAGCAGGACCTCCTAGAAAAGGTGTTTTATATATTCAACAGTGGGTAATGTATATGTCTTGCAGCTTTTGTGTTAATAACACTTTCAGTAATTTTACTTATGGAAAAAATATTTTTTTCTTAAATGCTTTTCTCTTTCAATGCAATATGATTCCTTTATGGGTGCTTTATTTCCCATTATATTGACATCAATGGACACACTCAATCAGCTTAAAATGTGGTGTCAAGACAAAATTAAGGTGTCTTTCTACGTATATAATTATGTATATTTTGTTTCAAAATGATGCCACCAATAAATGGAACCTTCTAGAATAACTCAATATAACAAAATTTATTTGGATAACTCAAGGTCCTGCTCAACTAAGCACTTCTTTTATAACACATTGGTTTCAGAACTCTGAAGAAGGTTCTGTCAAAATGCAGGGACACCGTTATGTACTATCTTTTATAGATAGGTTAAGTGACCTCCTTCAAGGGAAGGAAAAGAAGCTTCTTTCCACATATTGTTTTTGTCCACTCAAACACCCCAGTGGACAAGCTGGAAAATCTTTCTGCATTAGTGAATCGTTTTGTCATTTATCAAGACAAATGTCATGGCGATTCAGCCTCAGCCTGGTTCGACAGAGAATGGGATCGCAGGCTGACAAAGACAGGAGTTTATTGCCCTTCTTGGTTACAGAGGCAGGTGCCATTCACCAAGAGGAGATGAGGAGAGAGCAAGAGAAACTGCAGGTGGAGAAAAAAGGAAGAGTACAGTTTCCCCTAATTCGCCATGTGGTGAAAGAGGGTGAACACTAAGGGTGCCCCCCCTTATATATAGTATAGTGGTGGAGTGGAACCTGCCGCTCAAGGTCAGAGGCCAACGGCACAGTCCATAAGTCCTTGGGAAGGGGGAACGGAAAGTTACAATATAATTTACTGTTTTGTTCTACTTCATTCTGACGCTCCACTAGACATTTTCCTTTCCAAAACCAAGAGTATCGTCTTGTTCAATAAACAACACTGAACTTTAATGGTAAATGAAATGAAAAAAGTATATACACTATACTGCATTCGATACACCAATCATCACTGTACTCAGAGATTTATAAAAACCTTGCTCATGGAAATGGAGAAGAATATCCTAAACATCCTATCCTAATTATGTAGGAAAGTGATTTATTTCTACTAAATAGATACATCTTGCTGTAAATCCCTGCTGTAAACCCACAACTGGTAAAGCACACTGCAAATGGATGGCCAGCTGCATACTGTACATCTTGTGATTAACTGATTCCAAGGTATTTACATATTCACAAAAATAACTAGACTTTTTTTTATGTCCGTATAGCTTCTGTTTCACCAGGTTTCTCTACATTTTATCAAGTGGCTTATCTACCAAAATAAAAATAAATGTGATAATGAGTATCAGGCAGGCAGCAACACTCAGATGTTCCCACTTGACTAACACCAATTAATGTCGGAAAAAGTTCACCATTTCTCACCTTCCAGTGAAAGGGCTGAGCTGTTCTTAACTGCACAGTAAGGGCAAACAAGTTCCTTTGTGACAGAATATGTAACAATCTCAGAAAACAAAATCCTTGATGATGACAGAGCCAAATTTATTTTGCGATCACCTCACTCACAGTGCATTCTAGAGATTTCTCCAGGGATCCTTCTATATTAGCTTCCTTGTTACCAGTGGTAGACGTACTGTACATACAGGTTCATTAGTGCTCTAATGTGCCAGAATAGTTTATATTTTAAGCTAATATAAAGAAAAACAAAACAAGAGCCCTCCATAATAAATGTTTTTGAAGTAAACAGGCTAACATTGTTAATACAGAGCATCTACCAACCTGGAATGTAATATAATATGAAAAAGCAAGACAATTCTTTTACAGTATGGCACTGAGTGCACAACACAGCCAGTCCCATTCCTGAGTTGCTATGTAGCTTGTGAGGGTTTTACAACTTGGAAAATGTAAAATGTCACCTTAGTTCTTTACATTTTTTTTGCTTCACTGTATAAATATTTTGTTTTAATGATAATACTTAGAGCTGTAAAAACCATAAGAAAGTACATTGATATAAACATGGTGACGTGTTACAAAAAAGCAACTACTAAAGATCAAGTAATTCTTCTTGTGTTTATTAACCTAGAAATATACATACCTATGAAGTAATCCAAACTGTAGCATATACTATGAAACTTTGGGGCGTTGGTTGTCTAAACTGCCCTCTTTTTGCTTCTAATCTAGTGCTATTGATGCAATGGTACACTGGTATTTTGAATATTGAAGTTAACATGCTGTTGTTTTCTGATCAGCATGGATTTCTGGGTCCGCAAATAATCCCTTTACTTCAGCCTTCACAAAAAATAAAGAAACAAAAGAAAGCCTTCTGTTTCTAGTGGAGTACTACATACTGTATACAGTTCCCCAGCACAACTGGAAAGGGAGGATTTATTTTTCCTTTTAGTGCAGTAATTTATTCCTTTTAAACCAACAGAATTTTGTCAAGAATCCTTCTTTTCTTGATCGCAAGATTGTGACAAACCTGTCTCATTTCATATGTCTATGAAAAAGATGACCTAGCTCTTTTTCGTGCTCACTTCTTCTTTGTCCAACCCTTATATACCCTATGCGCAGGTTTTCATTTACAACACTAGTGCACAATTAACACAGGGCAAGCAGTCCATAAGCTTTCTTATAAAATGTTGGTCACCTGAGAAATTTATTTTTTCTATTTTGTTCTGACTCTTGTAACTCCAAGTGTTACAGGAGTTAGGACTGTGTAATATACCTAAAGGTATCTTCTGTGGCCATAATGAGACAGACAAAAAAAGAACTACCTTTCTTGCAGTTCCTCATCTGAGAACTGTAATTCCTTTTTAAGTGACTGGTATCGGTCTGCTTGCAGCAATCTTGTTCCATCATAGAGAGCCAGCTCCCTGTCATGGATCAATCTGAAAGGCAAACAAAGCAATTAACGCTTACAGTCATTACAAACACATGTGGAAACTTAAACCTTTTTGGACTTCAGAACAAAAAAAAATCCACCACGTCCCAAGAGGCAATAATCAAACAATTACAGCAGAAGTCTAATGGGAATTCTAGTCTCATTAAATTTAAAGAAACATATAGTAACTGTGCATTGTGGCGGCACAGTCTTGAGAGACCAATTAATTCACAACTGTAGCAGAAGAGGGTCACAAAAACCGTAACTTGTTTTAAATCGGTCTGATCCAAATGTAGATACTGTAACACGATCGACTCTCAGTGGCCCATGCGAGATAAGTAGGGCTACAAGAGCTGAGCTGATGTTGAGCTGACCTGGAGAGAACAGTCAGGGTCCCCAGGTTGACCCGGTGGATGCCATCCAGCAGGACAAGCTTCCCCTCCCGGGCAGCGGTGACCAGGGGAGAGGCCCTCCAGGCCGTATCCCCGCTGGGCAGGGTGTACCTCTGCTGGAGCAGGTCTCGCGCGGTCATATCCTGTCAGCATCCGAAGGCCGGCAGCGACAAGGAAGAACATTTTCACAACAGGGAGCAAATCAGTCATCCGACGTGCCAGGGGCAGCCCATGCAGCTACTGTTTCGATACACACAGTCTGCTACACTCACCCTGTACTGAAAGGCTTGCTGACAGTGGTACACAGTGAAACCCTAATGTTTAATTATTTATCTGTGCCATTCAGTTCATGGACCAATCGATATGATCATGAAAAAGGCATGCAGACTTTGAAAAGGCTTTAAAAAACAATGCTAAATTCACAAAAAAGGCATTTACTATGGTTCCTAGATTGATTCCTCTAAACATTCTTCTATTCCCAGAATACAGTAACCCTTGATCTGCAGCATCCAAAAATAGCTACCACATAATAGATCAACAGCTTCCTTTTCCCTCCTGTTTCTGAAGACACCACAAATTAAAACAACAGAGCACTAAGAATTCTTCACATTCTTTCAACGTCAACACTGTGGATTTTACAACCCAAAATTTCTATAGTACTTTTATAACTGTAGCAATAATATAATAAAATACTGATTCTCACAAAGGTACAGAGGTTTACAATTTGAGTTTATTTATTTAAAAATATTTTTACATGATATACTTGAAATCTTACATATATCATTCTACTGACTATAGGGGTTAAGAAGCTTATATCAAATATTTTATGATCTATTACATCTGGTAACTAATAAATGGTCAGCCTTATGAGCAGGAATTCTCAGCTAATTAAAACAGGTTTTGGAAATCTGCTGTATTAAGAGACAGAAGAATCAAATTTGTTACTTTATTTGGGTTCTCCAGGAAACCATGAACTGGATGTGAGTTGACAGAAAAAGTATTTTGCCATTTTCCTTATTTCTTATTATAAAGCAGAACAAATACCTACAGGAGACTGTAGAGGGAAACCACACAGATTATTTAAAGCTGACATGCTTCTCAATGCTCTTGTTCAGCTTTAATCTCTGCTTTGTGCATAATCAATGACTGAAATCCAAAAACCATGGAGCTCATTTAAAATGTAAGCTTCACAAAAAAAAAAAGGAAAAGGAGGATTAAAGCTGTTCTTGGAGAGCTGTGCTCTAGTTCAGATTTCGGCTGAGTGATCCTTCATTACATCACAACAACTAGTCCTCCGGAGATTGCCATGTAAGACAGGAAATAGTCACAAGTCATAAGAGAGAACCTAACTACAGTTAAAGCAAGGGGAGGAAGAGAATGACAATGTAAAAACAGGAGATATGCCACCTAAGCCCTGAGACAAAAATGGCGACCTATTTTGTGCTCTCCAGTTTGCCACAAACACATGTCAAGGATTGTGCACTAATGACTTAGGACCTGTAGAAGAGCTCTGTAGCTCAAACCAAGATATTGAAGGATCTCTTTTCTGTTATACTATATAAGATATTTGTATGTTATAACTGTTCAGGGTGGGAGCGAAAATAAAACGAATCAGATTCAACTAAGCCTTCTATTATCCTGACACTATTTCCATCACGCAACAATGCAGTCCACTAGCACACTCAGAAAAAAAGGGAGCTTATTACCTGATACAGCATTATGGGCTCAATGTTATATCCTAACATCTCAGCAAACTCTTTAGCAATCACAGATTTGCCACAACCCTGCAAAAAAGTAATATTGTTAGTATAACACCAGACACCTTCATTCTATCTGTGCATTCAGGCATAAGCTTCAGATTTAGAGCTTCACAAAGCCTGTGCTTACAAGATCTCTGCAGTTCAGGATAAGAATAAAACTGTACAAATTAGAACTTGTTCTATATTCAAAACATAGTGGTACAAACTAAACACTTCATTCCTCTTTCTGAACTGGTGATTTTGTGAGTTTAATAAGCCAAGCAGGGTACATTCTGTAAAGAAGCTGCCAAGAGGCCAATGACAAACACTGGGCCCTACAGCTCCGCTCAATGAGTCATTGAAGCGGGTCTTAGATTCATCAGAAATTCCTACCCATCGTGAAGTATAAGTACTGCATGGATAATCAGGACTGCAGCAGAAACATGTTTTCATTTCTTTTGTATTCTTAAAAATATTGATAACATAGACATACTAATAATAACAATGATGTAGATACAATGATAAACTAAATGATTGCTGATGACAAAATACCCACCACGAGTATATAGCAGTATAGTGACAAGATAAAAAATGTAGAAAGCACACAGCCAAGCTTCATTTACAAAAACATTCAGATTTTTTTTTCATGTTGTTTTGATAAATTAAACAAAACGTGTTGAGAATAACAGCAGCTCACAGAAAGTCCCAGCAGGATGTCAGAGAGAGTTCTCACCAGTGAAAAACAGACAGTGTTTACCTTTGCACCAATCAGACACATATCTTTCACCATGTGGGACAGCATCATCTCTGCTAGCAGCCCCTCATGACTGGGTGTCCTAATAAAATTCAGGCTTCGTGACTGGAGCCCTAAAGCTCTGGTTCCAGCTGGGACCTGTGGAGTTAAGACACTTTCTTAAGAGTTGCAAGCACAGGTAAAAAGGGATATGAAAAAGGCCAAGAGAGAGATGGAAGGAATATTGCAATGGAAGCTTAATAAATAATAAAATGCTTTTTTTCATGACTGCAACAGTAAAAGGACCATAAAGAATGAAGTAAAATGTATCTGGGTAAGTGTTGTACTCAGGTGTTCACTATGGAAGGCTATAGGATGCTTCAGGCAGCAGAAGGATAGAATTCTTAATTAAATAGTACCGACACAGAAGACAGAATTGTTTCAGGTACTAGAAGATTCAAGACTGGTAAATCTCTAGGGCTTGGTGGTATCCAACTAAATGTACTTAAGGAAACAAGAAATGTTATTCATAAGACATTGACATAAGTCTTTCAACAGCCGCTCAAGGCAAGGGTGGAAACTTGCTAATGTAGAGCCCCTGCGTAAAAAGAATAACAAAACTGAACCAAGTAATTCTAGACTAAGTCTGACCTCTATTACATGTAAGGATGTGGAAACAATTATTGGAACTAAACTAGAAAATAACCTGTATGGAAATATGAGCCTAGGGCACAGTCAACATGGATTTAGAAATGTTCAGTCTTTCCTAACCAACTTGTTAATAGTTCTTTGAACAAGCAACATTAGTAATGGACAGACACAGCACATGCAGTACGTCATGGTGAACTTATATTTTCAGAAGATTCTTAATAAAGATCATCATAGACAATTTAAAGAACCTAAGAACATACAATTAGTAAATTTAAAATTAATTTGAAAATTAGTATTTTATGAGGAACCTTATCAAAAGGCCTTTGAAAATCAAAATATACTACAGTATACCATAAACTAACTGTGGAACTCCTGTAGAGTTACCTGAAAAGTGATTTCTTTCTCAGCAATCTGGACAGTGACAGATGCCTGCCTCAGCTGGTCACTGTTTGTCTCCTCCACTTTAATCACTCTTGTAGGGAAGGCGTACTTCCTCGAATCAAGAAGTTCAAATCTCTAGAGGAGGGAATACAACATGAATAACCACGATGACTTAGCCTTTACATAAATGATGACTTAAACAGATCAAACAACGTAAGTATTACTGCAAAGTATTACATTTATTCACATGGCTGGTGCCATTAATCAAACAGGTTTAAAGGTCTTCATAGAACTCAATACTGTCATTATATTATATACCTCTTACGTAATGAAAAGGACCAAATTACAAGGAACTTAAAAAAAAATAACAGAATCGCTGGAGTAAAGACCAACCCACTGAAAAACCATGTCCAAAATATTGAAAACATTTAATGACTCATGTTACTGCAGTTATGTCCTGCATACAAAACAACAATAAATTTCTGCTCAACACCCAGTTGACGTATGAGGTCAATCTCCAGGAAAGCTCTAAGTATTAGTAAACATATTGGACCACAGTACCAGAGAATACCACACATTGTCTCCTCCAGAACTCTGCTTCACAGGCTCAGCGACAGTAAGTGTTAACACACAGTCTGTTATGTGGATATGTGAAACCCTTACTTTCAAGGTGTCTTCCACTGCAGTCTTGCCCTCCTTGCCCATTATCGACTCATACGGGTACAGCCTCTGGATGAGCTGGTGGGAGGACAGCGCAGGGCAGCAATCCTGAGGGACACATTAAAGACTCGAAAATAAGTCACTGCAGCGTGAACAGCACAAATCACATCACGGGGTTCAAAGAACACAAGGTCTACAGCTCCGCCTTGTCCTTCGTATATACAGTAAGTGTGACCTCCACATGGCCAAGCAAGGCATGCACTAAAACCGGGGCAACGTATGATGAATTACTTTCCAGAATCCAGCTCTGGCTCTTCATTAACTTAATGTTGCCAAGTACAGAAATTTTCCATCTCTGTCTTTCTAATGAGTATTTGCTCTAAATAATAACTTCTTCACTTACTACCAATAACACAATTTTTGCGCCCTTATGTGAACATGAATTTTCAAAATATTTGTACAAAATGTAATTTTCTTTTTTCCTGAAAAATGCCATTGGATGACTGAAAATAAACAAAGAGATGTACGTGGCCAGTTTCACAGCAATGCAGGACAGGTGAATCCCTGTACCATCCACCTTTGAAAACAATCAAAACATTTTTACCTGTATCCAGTTCCTTACTTTTCATCGTTACATTCATCTGATGAAGGTATTCATTAACCTACCTAACATATATTTTCCCCTTACTACTGTTTGTTAACTACTGGTGACAGGGATCAAATATTATTAGATATTAGTAAGACATGTTAAAGTTAAACGGTGATTGATCATGGTTAACTGTGTAACAATCTTTTCTAGAAGACACTTTCCTAGAAACACTAAAATGAGGTGTTGCAACCAGATTTTTCTTTAGGAACACAAGCTTGCCTCTTGCTTTGAAACCTTCATGAGCAACTACCTCAAAATATTTTACAAATCCAGTGAGCAGAACATGCAAATAGCTAGAAATTTGAAAATTGAGGAAAGCCCATTTTACACCAATGCTACAATACATTTTTAACATCACAAAGGATTATCAATGAATATAATGGATTACCAGGACATGCGGAGGAGGAGGTGCTGGGATCTTTCAGAATTTGGCATGAGGCGGTTTTCTTTATTGAATGTCACTGACTTGGCTAAACCAAAAGCAGCTTCAGACATTGCAAGTCCAGCCAGGTAACCTCCAAGCTTGGTTGGTATGCAGCCCTTGTTAATATTGTTGGCACCAGAGCACAGCTGCTGAGGGGATTATCACGATAACCTCTGACCAAACCTCTGGCCAGATTTACAATACCCCTTAGACAGAAATGCTCAACATTAAGGAAAATGAACAGTACAGGTGGGATGGGGAGTAGTGGCCTGTTCTTATCATCACACATCTTTCCTGTATCCTTAGGTTCTCAGTAATAACTGATGCAACACGCAACAACGACCCGCTCAGAGTGTAGTTTGCTGCGCTGGAAATGTCTTCAGCACCAGGCGGATCCATTACCCTTCAGATGCAGTACGTACCAGAACTTTAACCACTGCAGGCAGGTTGTCCACTGGGAAGTCAGGCAGACCCAGGCTGCCAGATTCTTGAGAGCAAAGTGTGGTGGCGAACGACAAGAGCTGAGAAACTCTGTGAGGGGAACATGAAAGCCCATCAACAACCAATTTCCCAGGACTAGCAATAGGGGTTGACTGCCTTTTTTAAAGATGTAAGAGGTGAAACTAACACACCTGTATTTTATGTAAATTTGATTGTACGTAAAGCCTCCCACAGACCCCATAACACATTTGCTATGTTATGGAAAGTTTCTGTTAGGTAGAAAAGAGCAGGCAGTGCAGCTAGTTCCTCCCACAGATGAACAGAGCAGTGTAAACATAATGCGTTCACTATCCATATCCAGTTCTGTTCTCTCACGTGTAACTGCATATCTGCATAGGAGCTAACTCTTTGTCCCTGACCATTTGATAACTGTCATATCATATTCATTTTGTGTTAAAATACTGGACAGTACAGTGTAGGATAATGAGAAGTACAGGATCTACAATTTTGTTATAATATGATTCTCTCCCATGTTTCATTATTTTCTTCATGTGTTTAAAATGTATACAATATTTGATGTTTAATTATTTTAATTAAAAAGCCAGCAGCCATATCACCCTGCAACTCACACCTGGCAGCCCACTGAAGTTCAGCAGGTGTGAGCCTGGTCAGTACCTGGATGGGAGACCTCCTGGGAAAAACTAAGGCTGCTGCTGGAGGACGTGTTAGTGGGGCCAGCAGGGGGCGCTCACCCTGCGGTCCTAATGCCCCAGTATAGTGATGGGGACACTATACTGTAAACAGGCGCCGTCTTTCGGATGAGACGTAAAACCGAGGTCCTGACTCCTGTGGTCATTAAAAAATCCCAAGGTGTTTCTCGAAAAGAGTAGGGGTTTACCCCGGCGTCCTGGCCAAATTTCCCATTGGCCCTTATAAGTGTAAGCAATTATTATTATTAAAGTGGTTTTAAAACATCCTTTTTCAAAGCAAAATGTTTTTAGTCCTAAATATCATGAATAGTAATTCTCTCTGTATAAGGACCTCTTCTGTCTTACAAAAAAATTGCTGCTGAATGAAATAAATCCGTTTTTTTTTATTTGTTATTGCTTTCTGTACAAAAAACACTGAAAGGAACATGTAGGAAAATGTTTACTATTCTTACCACACGCTGGTTATTGCTTTAGCCAGTAAAATAAAAACACTGTGCAGTATGCAGTGCTTAGAATCTTAGAATTTCATAATACTAGCAAGTTTAATTCTTTACCTTTCAGCTGGAACATTTGGTCCAACAGCATACAGAAGTTTCAACTGGTCCTAAATAATGATAAAACAAGACTTTATATTATTTATAATATTTATATGAACTTTAGGATCAATCAACGGCATGCAGAATCAGACTGTCCCAGGAAATGGCTCATTCACATTTTTTTTTAATGATATAACAAATTAATTCTGAAGCTCACAGAAACATAGAAAAAAATAAGAAAATACTTGCTGGAGGACACTTAGCTGTATGATCCAAAACATACAAGCCATGTAACAAAAACAGCTTGAGAAAAATAAGTAAAATCTTAGACAGACTTGGCCAGATCCATCTCAGGAAAGAGCCAGGAAAGAGGTTGCAGTGAAGAGGCAGAAGAAAAATTAAAGTCAGAAGACCCCAGGAATAGACAGTAACTCAAAATGGATCCAGCAAAGGCATGAAACAGATGGAGCCAAGCCAAGTGGGTTAGGGAGACTAACTCACACCCAAGGACCAAAATTCTGAATCTTCAAAAAGATTCACCAATGGGAACTTCAGGAAACAAGAACAATCCCATCTGAGAAGTTCTAAATAAAGATTCCGAAAAACATTCAGTTATTTTTGCTGTACCAAGTACCAGTAGTCTTACACATTTATGTTTTCGCTTTTTGCCATAATAAATATACCGTGCCGATATACCTATTTTTTTTCTGAAACCTACTTAAAGTTACATCGAGGGTATAAATCGATTTGGAAGTCAACTGGAAGATGCCATTGATGAGAGTTTTGGAAAAAATCGAAAACGTCCAAGCTACAGTTCGACATGAAACACCGAGACCCTCGGCCGGACGTGGGCCTCCGCAGCACGGCTCACCGTGAAAGGAAGGTAGTAGATGTCCCTGGCTTGGAAACGTGACCTGAGGGGGGGGTCCAGCGGGTTCCCTGTGTACCGGGGCACAGGCAGCCCCAGGGCAATCACTCGGAAATCTTCACTCACACGCACAATTTTCCAGGCGTCCAATTCCTCTTTCGTGTGCTCCTGGACAAACAGGCCCAACAATGAGGCAAAAAAACCAACATGTTAATCCCCGCTGACAAGAGACAATTTAGTCCGTGTGGTCTGCTATTATTTTTTTCCATTTATCAGTTCAAATAATCATTTTTAAAACACATGACCATCCACCACCCATTCTTTTTTCAAAAGCTAGCTGTCTAATATGAGTGGGAAAGGATTTTCATTATAATAAGTAACATTTTTTGTTAAACAGTCATTATGGGCTAGATTTCCGAAAGTGCATAAACCAGTTTTCAGAAACTAGAATCGTAGTCCAAACTAAAGATTTTAACTTCTGAGTACAAATCTTAATCACCACTGCATGCATACTGACGAGACTCAATGTGTAAAATCTTTATAGTTTGTAATGGTCTGATACAAGCTATCAATTTCTTGAAATTTCTTATTTCAAGAAATGGCTGGATGAGAACCTCGGATCAATTAGCTACCAATTACCAAACGAGATAGACAGTGGAAAGGCCTTGTCTTGTTTGCAAACTTAAGGGCTTAAAACAAACAACGCATCTTTCAACAAAACAGCCAGCACAGGTCCTAGGTTCTGGGAAAGCGATAGGCAATCATCAAACATGTTCACCTCGAGCAGTTTGTCGTATCGCTGTGCGGACATGAGAAACCTTCCGTCCTCCAGCTGCATCTCCCTGTTTTCCAGCAGGTTGTTGAGAACCGGGAGGACGTTGCGCTCCGCCTTTTCCAGCCCCTCCAGTACCAGGATCCTGCCCTGAGTGGCGGCGCGGACAGCACACTGCGGACAGCACCCAACATCGCCTTGTCAGCATGGCCCATTCGCCTAACTTCTGAAATCTGAGGGCTCTAAATGATGCAGCCCAGCAGCACTTAACATGCTTCTGAAAGATATCAAGCACTCAAAATCTTCTCAATGGGCAAATTATTTCATATTGGACAGTATATAAAATAAAACACGCTTGAAAGACGTGTACCTGCACAGAAAACGTATCTTTCTAAAATTTACCATGGCTTGTGTCATACTGCTTTTGATAACTTAATTTTATGAATTATCGAACATTTGATTTCAAGTTGTCTTCAAGATATCAGACTTTATCATTTCCAGATTTTGTTAGCGATTTTCATAGCTTGAAATGTAGTGTTTTCAAATTGAAAAAAACAATTAAAAAAAGTCTAATTATCTATCTATCGGGATAGAGTGGGTTTTGTCGAAGGCTGGAAAAGGGTGAAAGACAGCATGGTGGAGCAGGGGTTAGCATTGCTGCCTCAAAAAAGAAAAAGAAAATTCTCGAAAAAGAGTCTAATTAGATGACCAGTAGAATTAGGGCTCGTATAATTGAACCCAGCTCAAATAGAACCTACAAGACCCTGGGGTGATAAGGAGCAGAAGCCTGAAAGACAGACACTAAAAGGTGAAATAAATCAAAGAGCACTTTCCAGGGAAAAACTCACCTAGCATTAAAATAAAGTTTAAAATATCATACCAACATCATTTGTTCTTTTCAGAAATTATGATCAGTGTGGCACTCTTGCTCTGCTTGCATGCTAATTGTTATTAAGGGAAACTGTAAAATGCCACTTTAATACCAAACTGATAACTTGAACAAAACCAGCAGAAAGGTGCTATGAAGCCTCAGACCCATAACACCAAGGAAATGAGAGAACATACAATCGGTTATAGATGATTATTTGCAAACTTGCCACATCAAGAAGCTGAAAAGAGTTTTTGGATCCAAACAGTACAAGAAACTAGCCATCTTCACCAGGAACTGTTACTACTTACTTTAATAATTTTTTTTTTTTTATTGTTGTCAACCTTCCTGATTCAAAGATGTATTCAAGAAGACCTCTACACATCTGCAATTATATTTCGATATTTTTTGTTGTGTAATGTGTATAGTTTAGTTTAGTCGTTTCATTTCTTTTCCCTATTCAATGTGTTTTTTCTGTGTAAAATATCCTCTGAATCAATCCTGCAATTTGGGAACTGAAACACATTTTGTGTCTCAGTGTGTGTCTCTCACAGACTTAATGCCTTTATTACAACATGTACTAATGCTTGTTAGAACCAATATCTTTCTATATTCATTTAAGACAACATACAATTATTAGCAATTTGATTCTTTAACCTAGTTTAAAGTCAATATGAACCTTAAAAAATGCCTTCAAGGAAGCATTCACTTCAAGGTGTATTTTATTAAAGTAAAATGCAGTGAAACTGTATTCAAAATATACTATATAAAAAGGAGTCGTGTGCACTGTTTATTCAAAACATTGGATTTCAGAAAAGTACAATGGTTAAGGATTTCCGAGAAACACCTGTATGTCACCTATTGTGTCATTAGAAACTGAACTTTTGCAGAACTCTGAACTTGTAACGGGTTATAAAAAAACATAAGAGCATATTTAAAAACAGCACTGTAGGTATTTTACATCCACCATGATGAGAAAGGAAACTCAAAAATACACAAGCAACCACAAAACAACTAGCTGTGCAATTTGGTTCACATTTAAATATATGTTTGATTTTGTGGGAATATATCTCATAAAATTATCCTTCCGCTCTAAACTTTACTTCTGCTAAATTATCACTGCTGCTATAATCATAAAATTACATTTAATGCGACTGACGCAGGAGTGGTAAAACTTGTAAAAACCACATTGAGCACCATACTGAATTTCAATGAAAAAGAAATCTGTCAATCCCAAAATGGAAAAACTACACTGAACGTCCTATTTGATTTCCTGGGGATTCTGTTGGACTGGAAATGAAAGTTTTTTTGCTTTTAAACTTCAGTTAAAATATGAGCCATTTAACAAAACAGGACACAACAGTCTAATCCACAATACCTTCCCTACTGTTATAACTACTGTACTTTGGGCTATCAGCAAGTGTAGAAATAAAGTTTCTGCATCAGTTCCATCACTGCGCATTCAGAGTATGCATAAAGGCAACATACAAGTTAAATGACGTCATCTTAATTCTCCAAAACGAATCAAAATCCTTTGCGTGCTGGACTTCCGTTTGACAGCCATTAAATTGAAACTCCAGTTATAACCAGTTGTCTATGCTCAGGTAGGTGTGCGTGACGTTTAGTGTTTCTTTATTCACATTGAGCCTGAGGAAAGCAGAGAGACATACTGTACATCACCTCACCATTTACTTTTAAGAGCTTAATCAATCTCCTTTACTACCAGCACCTGGGCACTTCAATACCAAAGGCCATGCCAGGACAAAGATGATGGCTCAAATTCGCCATGCTGATGTTAATTTCGGATATAAAATCCCACATGGTCCAAAGTCACATAATTTAACAATAATTTGGGAAATAGAGTGGTTTGCCTCAAAGACGCCCACTAACTGTTGCCATGGCAGCCCGTATAACCCCTTGCAAGCTTTTCATGGGTCTTGCTGAGAAGAACAGGTTTCTTATCCAAAAAGCCTTTCAAAACCATTGTTAAGATTTTTCTCCTGATATCTCAAAAGCACCAAGCATGTTTCACCTACGTAAAGAATGCACTCGGAGCTTTCAGCAGCTGTAAGGCATTGTAAAGATGTTTATTCAGGTCTGAGGACTGTCATTCCCAATTGATAAATTCTGCCAAGATATTACACATTACACAGGGTAAAAAAGTCAGGAGTAACAGTATCCAGTGAAAAAATACATACTAGACCTGGAAGGAAACTATACTTATTTGCATCTATGAAGGAAAAGAAATATTTTCCCCATAGATTTTTTAAAGAATATAAATATTAACAAGAAAACACAATACTCTCTCTGTGAGGTTCTGATACAGGATGACTTCTAAGCATAATCACACCTGTGTTGACAAACAAGGCTGTCCTTGAAAATAAAAGAAATGGGATAATTTTTTTTTCAGTTGTAACAAAACCAATGTTCTGTTTCCTTAATGCTAAGAGTGCACTATAGAGCCGGCCTTTAAAAAAAGATCTGAATCACGATTAACATTAAAGTCAGCCAAACAATGTGATCTATCTTTGTGAGCATTTCTAAAGAAAGTCTCCTACCTTTCCCACACAAGTGATTTCCATTACCTGGTCACAAAGGCCTCCATTCAACTGCCAGCAGATGGCAAGTCACCTCAGAAAGCTATCCTATGTGTGCTAATAGAAGGATTAAAGGGTCAGGGGTGTTTTTTGTTCTTTTTCAGTATTCATTTTGTGATGCCTGTTTTGCTTTCGCTGGCCAGTGTAAATCGGCCATGCAAGAAATCATCTCTTCAAACAGATGTTTCCACTTCAGACCAAACAGAATGCCGTAAAAAGGGAGAAAATGCAAAAACAACAGAAGCATAAAAGTTTGAGTACCAAAGATTACAGTGTAGGGACCTGTAGAGTTCCACAGACAAGACAATGCAAAAAAGATGGAATAACAAATAATTTAACATTCTGAACTACACTCTCTCAAGTTAGAATGGCCTTATTTTGCTGAAAAACATTATTCCCGTTTCCCAGTTCTCTGATGGCTATGTATTCCATTATGAGAATATTCAACAGCAGAAGAATATGGCAGGATATAGCTTCAATAGCTATGGAACAGATTCATAATTATGCTTAACGATTCAATTAGTACTTTGCTTGATTGGTTAAAATTTCTGTCATTATCTAAGAGCACAAATTCATAGATAATGAAATATGCTGCATAGATTCTGCCATGTTCCCCCTTTTTCATAGTTTTAATTGATATCACAATGCTACAAAGATATGTACTGTACATAAAGGTTAAAATATAGCTCTCCTACTCAGAAAGGTGCGATGACTTTCTAAAACGAGTCTCTAAAAGGAATCGTAGTATATGTATTAAAGAGGCACTGTCATCTGACAGGCCCTCATCTCTCAGCAGCCTTGCTACTTGTGAAGGATTAACCCTGATCAAAAACACTTTTACGGCATTAAGGAGAATGTCAGATGATCTGGAATGGACAATGCCGATTTGCTTCAGAAAGAAACTCAAACAGTGGAAACAGATTAAAGCAATTTAGAGTGCTTTATGACTGTGACATTTGGAATTGGAATGAGAAATTCTCCAGATGTTACAAGTGTTCAGCACTTTCTTGTCTACTTAGGAATACAATGTGTGATCGAACACAGCACATTGTACTCATTTTTAATTTTCTTCCATTACATCAAATACCTTAGCTACAAAAAGTTAAGATCACAGTACAAACCTACATCATAAACAGACACAAAACAATTGCAGAGCCTCTCTGAAAAAAATGCAAAGTTTACACCTACATAGTAATTCCATTTATAAATTCACAGACAAAGAATGTATGATTTCATTGTTGACAAAAATGTACTGGATCTGCAGATTCTTTTACATCTGCACATGTTATAATGTCGTGTTTTATTACTACTCCATTGATTTATTGTTACAGCCTCACACAAAGGATTTGAGGTACATATAAAATACGAACAGCACTTTAAATGGCAAAAATAAGTGTCAAAAGGTAGTAGAGCTAATCTGTACATAGCTGAAAGTCAAAGGAAAACAACACTGAAGCTATATAAAAGCATTTATTTTTTCAGAATTAAATAAACATTTTTATATCATGTCCTAAGTACCCGGAAAAAACAGAATTCTTTAATAGACTAATAAGGCTATAATTACAATCCTTAGCACCAGGCATTGCAGATAATACTAAAAGCGAAACAGCATAAGTCTTGCTTTTAATTAATTAACAATTACATTTAAAAAAAACTTGTAACTGCTCCAACAATATACCAGAGTTGTTTCCATGGAAACAAAAAAGTAT